GGCGGGTGGAGGGGGGTCGGGTGGTGGGGGGGGGGGCTCGGCCAGGACTCCTGGGCTCTCTCTCCGGCTCTGGGAGGGCAGTGGGGGCCAGTGGTTAGAGCAGGGGCTGGGAGCCAGGACGCCTGGGGTCTCTCCCCGGCTCTGGGAAGGGAGTGGGGGCCAGTGGTTAGCAGGGGGGCTCAAGATCGTCTCATCTGAGGAAGTGGGTTTCCCCCGGAAGACTCGTGATCCCTTCTATCTATGTGTTAGTCTCTAAGGTGCCGGAGGGCTCCTCTGAAGTCCCAGACTTGGCTTGCCCTGTCCCGCCTCTCTCCATAAGAGGGAGCAACGACCAAAGCCCCCTGCCTCTAGCCAGGCAGCTGAGGACTCCTGCTCAGAAGGCCGGGCCCGGGGGCAGATTCACTGGGGAGCAGAGCAGATTAGGGGACTGTATTGTTCCAATGCTGGCCGAATGGAGCCGTGGGGACTGAGGCCAGGGAAGGGCCCGTCCGCCAGTCTGTAAGGAAGTCTTGGGGCAGAGAAACCCTCCCTATAGGAGAGCTGGGCTGGCTCAGAGGCAGGGTCCCGTCACCCCCAGGGTGACTGGCTTGAATCCAGACGAGGTGACAACGACTGTAAATTATTCCTGTTGTAGGGCACCTTGGCCCAGCTCTGTTCCCTGTGGGGTAAGTGTCTGTGGACACCACAGGCTGGGTGGGGAACCCTTCCAGGTCTTCCAGTCCTCGCCCTCTCTGCTCAGGGGGCCTGGCTCTGTGAAGGCGAGGGACGGGCGCACCTGAAGGCCAGGAGTGTCACGTAAAGGTGGAGCCAAACCCCGGGCAGCTTGGGGCTGTGATTAAGAGCCAGCAGGTGCTATGGAGCAACCGCAGTCATCCCCTCAAACGGGACAAACAGCACAGGGCAGGCGGGACCAGCTGCAGGTTCCTTCCGGGGAGACAGCGGCCTGTGCCGGCCAGGCTGGGGCTGGAAGCCCTGCTGGAGTCCCCTAGCTGGGACTGCAATTCAGATGCTGGCTCTGTTAACTGGATGAGGGGATCTGTGACGAGGTGGGGCTGGTATTCGCTTTGTTCTCTTTGTTCTGTCGCATGTGACTTCTGCTGCCTTGGGGTGGCCCTGTGTGCGTGCCTCAGTTTCCCTGGACACTGCACCAATCCCTAGATGGGAATTTCGCATGTGACTCTCACTAAGGGAGGCTGCCCCAGCCCGGTGCGTACACAACAATAGCTCAGGTGTCCTGTACCCTGAGTCTGGGTGGGGGGAACAACCAGGTGACACCTTGCGCAGGAGTCTGAGCAACGGAGGGGCGGAGCGGCCTGCAGGGCTGGGCCTGCTTGGCTGAGTGTGTGTCTCGGCTGGCTTAGGATGCAGGGAGGGGCCACAGGCCCTGGCTCTGGGCCCCGTCTCCCCAAGCTGGGTTGTCCTGGCTGCTCCTGCTTCCTGTGCCGACAAGTCGGTTCTGCGCCGTGTCCCGGGAAACCAATAAACCTTCTGTCCTCCCTGCCCACTGGCTGGGGCTGGCG